GCAAATCATGCTATTATTTTTGACTGTAACATTTTAGCGGACTCCATCTATATACGTAGTTTTTTAGTCTGAGTCGCTGTAATAGCGAAAAATTAAACGAAATGAAATCTCACTATAACTGTGAAAAATTAAATTAAATATCATTATAAAGTACTACAATATAAAATAACAAGCCTCTAACATAAGAAAATGGAATATTTTAGCTCTATTTTATAAATTTTCTTTAGTATCACGCCCTTACATCCATGCGTTGAAGTGGCACTCTACACTCAGCAAAAAAACTTAATGGGTGTACAGAACGTGATATTTACTTAGTGTGCTTGGTCACTATTGTGATAGCGATACATTACAGTTGAAAGCTATGGTAGTTTTTACCCGACTGCAAGGAAGAGTTATGTTTTCGCGCCTATCTTTGTATGTTTGTTTGTTTGTAATATTCTTTATTCCCTCATATCTTCCAAACCACTCGATGGATTTCTTTAATTAAGGTATTGTTAGATTCGTCTCATTATTCCAAGATTCTTAGATAGGTGACATAAAAAATGGGGGTCTGCAAGATTGTTTAAGGTGACTTTTTTTAATCTTCTTTTGCTGCAATATGGGTATCGAATTAACGGCTCATAACAAAAAGGTATAACATCCCTATATTACTTAAAATTATAATAATTAAAACCACATTTATAGCTTCACTAGTTCGCTCAATGCTAGAAATCTATACATATTATAAAATTGTAACTAAGCCGAATCTGTACATTAAATATTTTTTAGTAAATCTTATTGAAATAGACATTATTATTGATACAGAGGCCGAATCTATAGTTTTTAGAATTTTTGTCTGTCTGTCTGTTTGTCCGTCTGCCTGTTACCGCATCGCAGAAAAACCACTGGAGGGATTTTGATGAAATATGGTATGGTGGTAGCTGGTTATCCGGGTCAACATATAGGAAACCCGAGCGAAGCCAAAGTGACCCGCTAGTTTTTAATAGCCACTTTCTTTTCGGATTTAATCGTGAATTTATTTTACTTTTCAGTTCTCGACGTTTTGAATGCATTATAGCAATCATGATCACAGGAGAGACTCCCTCAAGCAAATGTCACATGTAAGACAGTATAAATTATTGGAAAAAGCAGTGCAGTGAAACCAGCGATTCTAGCATAAGAACGTATTTAAAGAACCGTAGTATTAAAGGAATACTAAATTTAAGTTTTACTAATGAACGCCTTTGTAAATGTTGACTTACCAAAAGAATTTTCGTGGTTTAACCGCATATTGTTAAATTTAACAAGCAAAATAAATAAACTTTTGTTGTTACTTCAAAATAATGATGTTTGTGTGTACATACTAGCAACTCACCCTCGCTCCGCTCGGGTTCCCCTAGTTACATTTCAAATTTAGTATAGATTTCTCAGATATGAGATATTTATCGCAGTAAAAAGTATCCTATATGTTGACCCAGCTACCATTATACCAAATTTCATCAAAATCTGTCCAATGGTTTTCTCGTGATGTTGTCACAGACAAACAAACATACGACAGACAGAGAATAATTCTAAAAACTATAGATTCGGCCTCTGTATTGACAATTATGACTTTTTCAATAAGATTTTCCAAAAAAATATTTAATGTACCGATTTGCCTCAGAATTTTACTATACGTACTAGCGGCTCACCCTCGCTTCGCTCAAGTTCGCCTCTAGAAAAATAAAAACAAATTTATCCCACGGGAACCATACATTTTTCTGGGAAAAAGTAGTCTGTGTTATTCTGATGTATGAGCTATATTATTTTAAAGTTTCATCAAAATCCATTCAATAGTTTTTGGGTGAAAGACTAATAAGCATACATCCATACACAAATTCATATAAGCTTTCACGTTTATAATATTAGTAGTGTATATAGATAATACACTAGTGTAGTTATATATAGGTAATAATAGACTAATGTTGATCCAGTGCTCGAAATTAGACCATAATCATTATCGAAAATTTGAGAATTTACCTATAACAGGTTTTTTTAAATGTGATAGTTTGTTTGTATGTGTGTATGTTTGTTACTACTTCATACTAAAACGGTTGGACAGGTTTGCATGTAATTTAGTACACGAATAGACTATAACCTAGAGTATCACAACTACAGTTAGGCACGTAACGACGCCGAGCGAAGCAAGAGTAAGTCGATAGTTTTCTTAATAAATTATACCTCAATGATGATCTAATACAATATCAAGATTAAATTTTAAATGTAAATTTAATTAATTTAATAATAATTTTGAAGACATTGTATTTTTTTAATTAAAATTTTTAACTATGCTATAGTATATAATAGAATGATAATTAATTGAATAAATAGATTGCTTCCGTATACAAATTTTCATCCCCATTTTCATGCCCTTAAACGATAATTTAGGGGATAAAACTATCTTATGTCATTTCCAGGGTCTCAAACTATCTTTTTACCAAATTTCATCTAAATCGGTTCAGTAGTTTCGGAGCTTATTCGGTACAAGGAAACAAATGAAAAAAAATCCTCTTTATAATATTAAGTATAGATATACTATGCAAACTATATAAAACTGTCTGTCTGCAAAAACTCTTAATTTAAGTGGACACAGTGACTCAGCTTTATACCTGTAGGGATAATTTGTAGCTCGTTACTGAAAGAGAAAAATAAAATAATTAGTAGATTCATTACTTACTCGAGCTTCCCTTGATTCAAAAGTAGTAACCTGAGCCTATAAATAAATATGTTGGGATATTAACACACAGCACCATCTAGTTCCATGATAAGATACGAGGCTTGTGTTATGGATACCAGATTGTTGATACACTACACATATATAGATCCATATTATAAATATAAAACACGCATGACTGGAGTACAAACATTCGTGCTCATCACACAAATAAATGCCCGGCGGGACTCGAACCCGCGACCACTGGCACAGCAAGTAGGGTCACTACAAACTGAGCCAAACGTGTCGCCAAGCCAGGTTATAGTCTATCTGTGTACGAAATTTCATCCAAATCCGTCCAGCAATTTTAACGCGAAGGCGAAATAAACATAGAAACATTCAAACTTTCACATTCATATTAGTAGCCCGATTTTTTACAATTTATTATATTAACCTAAAATTCTAGAACATAAAATTTAAATATTTTTAGCTATAGGCGTAATAATACACGACATGTTTCTTAAAATCCATAGATTCGAGTTTCATTTAGGACAAATTATTTATTCCTGAATCTAATACGTCAAATTTAGTTTTTGTCAAAATTGGATAACTCATTGCAAATTTTTTTGTAATTTGTTACGTCATTTTCGAAACAAGAAAAAGTTTCATCGCACAATCGGTTAAAAGCTAAAAGTTAGATATCACATGCCTCATCTCCGGTAAACTTCGATCGGAAAGTCCTTGAATGTTAAATGTTTTTTAACTTCTTCAGACGACCTACTTAAGTTTAGGGTCCCCACTCAATAAAAAACGAGTGTCTGTGCGTATTTTATATCCACCTCTCAATATTAGCACCTGGGCGACCGAGCTTCGCTCGGCGTTTTTTTATAACATCGTGTCTTTTTCGAAAAAACATATAAAAATTCTGTTTTTTAAGAAAAGATATCTACTATATAATATATAGATAAACGTAAATAAAAACTTTTTAACAAAAAAATAAAAACCGACTTCAAACAAAAGCACTAAAAAGTAAAAAATAACTGATTGGTAGTTTTCATTTACTATACATACCTAATCAAATATTTTCGAAGTCGGTGTGCTTTGCTTTGTATGGGCTGGCACCGATTTCGAAAATATTTGAATAGGTATGTATTTAATAGGTAGGCTTTAATTACTTAGCCAAAGCACACCGACTTCGAAAATATTTGATTAGGTATGTATAGTTAATGAAAACTACCAATCAGTTATTTTTTACTTTTTAGTGCTTTTGTTTGAAGTCGGTTTTTATTTTTGTATTAAAAAGTTTTTATTTTCCCTTTTTAGTGTAGGCACTAGTAACAAAGTAATAATTCTAACGTGTTAGGCTTGTCAAATCAAACAAAATAAGCCCAAACTCAAAGTATCTACTATTAGCCGTTGAAGAGTTTCACCTATCCACCTTCTGGCCTTGCCATCAGATCAGGTCAACAACCCCGAACCACTGTACTATCAACGGAAATAGAAACACTTGCAAAGTTTCAAGTCAATATGACAATTAGAAGTAGGTTAAATCCATCATTAGCTATTTTTCCACCCTTAGGGGTGGTATTTTTATTTTAAATTTAAATGGGACCAATCTGGAAGTATACCCTTTAAAACAAAACAAAAATTGTCCAAATCGGTTAATAAATGACGAAGTTCTGAGGTAACAAACATAAAAAAAAAACAGTCGAATTGAGAACCTCCTCCTTTTTGAAGTCGGTTGAAAAACGAAACTTTATTTAAGTATCTACTTGATCCAAATCGTTAGAAATAAATTTATATACAAGAATCGCTCATCTATACATATAATAAAATTCTAACCGAGTCGAATCTGTACATTAAATATTTTTTGGATAATCTTATTGAAATAGTCATTATTATTGATACAGATTACAGAGGTCGAATCTATAGTTTTTAGAATATTTTTCTGTCTGTCTGTCTGGAAGCGCATCGCGAGAAAACCACTGGACAGATTTTGATGAAATTTGGTATGATAGTAGCTGGTTATCCAGGTCAACATATAGAATACTTTTTACAGCGGGAAAATATCTCATCTCTGAGAAATCTATACAAAGCGTTAAAACAAATATTATAAGATTTTTCTTTTGTTTCAGATAATCAAAAATTTCAAATCACTAAACAAGTTCCAAGAAGAATACTAGTTCGAAAAATCTGAACTTCAATTTTTTTTATTGAAAGTCCATTTCTGTATATGACGTGAAGTGGCGTGCAGCGTGGTAGGTTCCGTATGTTGGATTGATGAGGTCGTTGCGAATGCCGGCGAGAGGCCCACCTGGCCGGCAGGTCAATGACATCGCCGGCGGTCTTCGTGTGTTTGGCACTGGGTGAGTATCTAAGTCTATATTTTATCTAGGGGATTCACCAGAAATTTGTTTTTTTATAAGTAATAATTGCAGATTCACCATTAATATAAAAAACATAAATACACATTTCTTAATAAATATCTCTTCAAAAAGTGTCGTCGATATGTGACGTTAAGTCAAACCAAAGAATAAAATTCTAAAGTTCTAAACACAAATTTGAACTTACGCACACACTATAATGTACATTGCGATATTAAACGAAACATTGGGTTTTAATTTCATCATCCAAAAAGCAATGTACCAAAAAGATTAAAAAAACGCACAATTTCGAATTATGCACTAATTAATCAAATTTTAACTCAGTTTTGGGTTTTCAATCTCAATTTTTAAAACTTATATTCAAATTTGCTATACAGATCGTTTTCTTTCTACAAAGAATAATGAAAAATCTTATACAAACATTTATTTAGATTTTAGAGCAATGAATATTCTATTATTTGTGTTTTGTTTTAAGCACTATACATTATTTTAAATCGTTATTGTATGGCTTCATATTTAGTTCTATAACACTCTGTCTATATTATTCCCAAGTCTGAGATACAGACGAACAGATGTCTACATACTAATATCAAAATTTAGACGCTTCAAGCTCACATGACGACACGTTTGGCTCAGTTTGTAGTGGCCCTACTTGCTGTGCCCGCGGTCGCGGGTTCGAGTCCCACTGGGAGCATTCATTTGTGTGATGAGCACGAATGTTTGTGCTCTAGTTATGGGTACTATATTTATAATATGTAAGTATTTAAAGTAATATATGTATAGTGTATCAACTACCTGGTATCCATAACACAAGCCTCGTAGCTTACCATGGAACTAGATGGTTCTGTGTGTTAATGTCCCAACATATTTATTTATACCTCGCAAGTAAGTTGTGGAACCATTTTTTTTAAGGTTGGGAAATGCATTTAAGCACGACGTGGGGGACTCACCGGCGTAATACAGCCAGTACTACCCATTAAAACCCAACAAAACCTTTTCCCGTCTTAATGAGGCTTCGCAGGATCGCTTACGCATTCAACTACGACGCCCCGACGGCAGGTCTGCCAAAGCAGACCACCACAACCATGAGGTTGCTCCAAGGTTCACTCTGCTATCAGAGAAGTACCAGGAGCAACCCGCATGGTACACCGCCCCCCGAAGAGGGCCACCTCCCACCGCCCACCGAAGTGGGCAACCTCCCTGTGCGTTTCTTAGCTTCGCGCCCGGTTGGATTGCCGGGCACTACTGCGCCCCCCCACCACGACAAGGTGAACGCACGTTGGGGGGGAAGTTGTGGAACCATATTCTATGTAAGGTTTCCCTCGAGCGCTGCAATACGGCATTCTTCACAAGTCACAGGTTTCAAAAATCATCGTCATAGTGTACTTTACTTTAAAAAAAAAACTTAAAGATATAGTGTTAATTATATACATTTTTATTCTAACGTAGCGACTCACCCTCGCTCCGCTTGGGTTCGTTTCTAACATAGATTTCTCAGAGATGAGGTATTTCCCCGCAGTAAAAAGTATCCTATATGTTGATCCGGATAACCAGCTATCATCATACCAAATTTCATCAAAATCCCTCCAGTGGTTTTCCGTGATGCGGTCACAGACATGCAGACAGACATGTATCGATACAGATCATATAATACTATACAAGGTATCGATAATCATGTCTAGTAGATCAATATTAGAGCTATAAGATTTTAAAAAAAATGTACAGATTCGACTCACTTAGTTTTTTATGTACACTTTTTTTATTTTTACGAGTATTAAATTTTGTAAAATAATATTTTTTTTGACTGTAGAAATATAGAAATTAATGTTTAAGCTGTATGATTTAGTTTGTATTATAAATGGGAAATCCTATCGGACTCACAGCTTATCACATAATATTTATTAGGTCTTCTGTTAGTCTAAGCTACACTTACAGAATATACAAACATACGGACAGGCCTATTCAAGTTGTATTGATATAAGCACTACAAGGTTATTTGACACTCAGCAAATAAACACGTGGTATGTTACTAAGATGCTTACGGCAATATCTAATTTACGTATCAACCCATCCATGTTTTTGTAGAGTGGTATCATTGAAGAGGCGAAAGAAGTGTTGAGGTTCGGTTTCCACTTAAAATGCTCTACATCATTATAATAAATGGGAAAGTTTGTATGTATGTGAAACGGCTGAACGGATTTTGATGAAATTTCAGCCACAGATAGATATACATTTACGCATACTAATAATAGTATGGGCTATGAGCTCATCTGCTAGAAAAACTAGTATCATACACTAAAACCCTACGGAACCATTCCTGTCTTAATGGGGCATCGTAAGATTGCTTACACACACACCATGACGCCCCGAAAGCTGATCAGCCGAGGCAGACCACAACAACCAAGGGGTTTTTGTCCCATAGTCCACTCTGCTATCAGAGAACAACAAGGAGTAATCCACATGGTACAATGCCCACCGAGATGAGCCGCCAGTATATCTCTTGGCTTCGCGCCCGGCTGGATTGCCAGACGCTACTGAGCAACAGCAGTAACACACATAGAGAGCAAGATGATCTATGACCTAGAGTAAATATATAACTGTTTATAGAGATGCACTCGAGCAAAACGGGGGTAAGTCACTAACTAGTTATACTTATGTAATGCCAGCCATTGGTGGTTTTTTTTTCGTTAAATAAGCATTTTCGTGAACTGACCGTTTAATCTTTACAAGGGTAATTAAACTTTTAAAACGGTTGCACATTTATTTTATCACCTAATCATTCTTAATGCTTGACAGAAGGACGTAAATAAAGATTAAAAGAATTACAGAGGTTAAAATTTTTACATAATTTTTACGTTTACCAAGTGCACCTGTTCCTACAGTTTTATTTTCATTGGCCCATGTATGTACACTACTATTTTAAAGAGGAAAACTTTGTATTTTTGTGTGTTTGTAACGAATAAACTCAAAAACTACTGGACCGATTTAGATGAAATTTGGTAAGAAAACAGTTTGAAATCTTGAAAAGGACATAAAATATTTTTTATTCCGGAAGTGATCCCTTAAATGGATGAAAATGGGGATGATAGTTTGTGTGGCAAATCAATCGAGAGACGAACCAGAGCGAAGCAAGGGTGAGTCGCTAGTATGTATACATATAAATTGGCAAAGACAAACAATTCAGTAGTTTTGTACAAACATACATACAAACACAACAAGCAATATTTCAAAATACTGTACACAAGTAGACAAGACTTAATCATCCAAAAAATTGAACATTAACAACGACATCTATCAATCACTGATATCATCAGGATTCCCGTATTATTTGGTATTCGATTCACAACTCATTTATTTTATCGATTTTTGTATCATGATATGTACATATATAATCGAAAACAGATTATCTTTGAAACATTTTATTATTTTTTCTTGTTTGAAGATTAAAGTCAAGCAATGGCTTGGAAAAATATGCCTAAACCAAACTGATTTTAATTTTACTTTGGCATAGTACATTCTATTACGAATACATATACATATATATCATCTATCCTAATATTATAACGAGGCAGAGTTTGTTTGTTTGAACGTGCAAATCTCAGGAACTACTCATCTGATTTGAAAAATTCTTTTTGCATTAGATATCCCATTTATTGAGAAAGGCTATAGGCTATATATATCATATAATATATAGTCTATCTATTCCATACTAACCGCTCAAAACCTAAGGACGACCCCGAGCGAAGTGAGGGTGAGTTGCTAGTAAGCTATATATTACAAACTAGAATTCAGTATATAATACATATATGTACTATCTAAATTCTACGGTGAATTGAAGACAATTAGTCACTACGATCTCGCTACTTAGGTAAGCGATTTGGTGTGAAACTATTAATTCTCATAACTGATTCCAAGGTAGCAAATCTCATTGAGAATTCACAAGATACTATGTACAAGTATTATCGCTAAAACAGATGCACTTACGAATAACCTGGTAAGATGTTAGCCGCAGAATCTCTCTAACTCAATCTATTACTTTAAATTTCTCATAAGCCCAATATGTCACTTATCCCGACCCGAGACTCGAATCCTGAACCTCGTAATCTACAGCCGTACTAGCTAGTCACTTGACCCACTAATCAAAAATTACTATTATAAATATGAAAGTTTGTACGTGTGTATGTGTACGTATTTTGTTACTTTTTCAAGCTAAAAGGCTGGACCGATTTTAATGAGTACTCAGACTATATATTGGAGTTACACATATTATGGTACTTTTAGACACATATCTATACATATCAATAAATGGTAACTAAGACAAATCTGTACATTAAATATTTTTTGAAAATCTTATTGAAATAAACATTATTATACAGAGGCCGAATCTATAGTTTTTATAATTTTTGTCCGTCTGTCTGTCTGTTTGTTACCGCATCACAGAAAAACCACTGGAGGGATTTTGATGAAATTTAGTATGGTGATAGCTAGTTATTCAGGTCAACATATAGGATACTTTTTACCGCGGGAATATATCTCCTTTCTGAGAAAAATACAAAAACTGCATTGTAAGAGTATACTAACTAATATGTAAAACCTAAGAATTTGGTTTTTGGTCATCTCGACGCGGGCGGAGCCGCGTACAATGCTAGTATGGACATATTTGAGCGAAGCGAAGCTAAATCAGTATTGGATAAAGCCACATTAAAAAATAATAAAAAATCAATTACACACAACCCACAGTCAATCAGCCCGTTTGATTGCGATGAGCCGATAATCTCAATGCCAATCACTTGGGATCAGTAAGCTCGTAACGCTATTTAATATTACATTTTAAACCCGACGTTAATTTATAGATGGAATAATGTTTATGTTAATATTTAATATGTAAAATATTGACATTTAAATTTTGTTATAGCAACAGTCTGTGGTGAAATGTTGATACGATCCTTTTAATTTGTTAGCAGGTTCGAACCTCGGGTGTC